GGGTGCTGGTCTGTGCAGGTCTGGAGTTTTCAGGGTTGCTGCAGGGCTCCATGCTGCACCAGGGTAGGAGCCCAATAGACACAGGACGATGCCCTGAGGTCTGCAGGTCCTAAGGGTACCTAACTGTGGTGCATGCACAACCAACAAAGACACCTGTAGTCCGTTCTCCAGGGGCAGTCTGAGCAGTAAATAAGGCACGAGAAACGTTCTGTGGTCAGAGCACTCCGGGTTGACCTAGATCTTTAGCACCAAGTTTGCCTTTGCCTAGAGACGCTGCAGCTTTTCTTCTGCTTGGTGAACAGAGAGGCGAGTTCTGGGAACGGCCTAAAGAGAAACATTTAGATTGGAGGGGTCTTTGAGCGGGCTGACAGCTGACTGATGACCATCCATAAAATGACAAAGAGGAGCTGTGTGGCGGCCGGGCATCACATCGCCTCTCCCTGGGAAACTAATTGCTCTGAATTGTTCAGAGGAACATTATTTTTCGGGCAATCATTTCCTTTGAATGCCTAAAATGAGCATGAAACAACTCTTTTGACTGGACATAAAAGTTAAATGTCCCAATGTTGATCAAATTAACTTCAGCGCTGTGACAATGGACTGTATTTGTGAGAAAATAATGGGGGGGACAAAGGGGCGCTTTATGCCAAGATTTCACAGTTGTAATGTAAAAATGTTTCTGTTGAACTAGGCCAGGCCACATTTCAAAGGGGAGACAGAAGAGCCCTGTCACTTGTGGAAAAAAATCTCATTTCACGGACTGAAAGCTCAGGAAGGTTGCAGGACATTTCAGCACTTGGTGCCTTAGGAAGGCCAGCGTGGAGGTCTGTCTGAATCCCTCCCAAGGCCCCACAGAGCTGACCTGCCTGAGTGACATATGGACCAGGTCTGCCCACAACAGGTACCACGTATTAAGTGCCTTCCAGAGCCACAAAGAGGGTGTGAGTGACCCAGACTACTCCAGGTGAGACAGCCTCTGACACCTCATAGAACCTCCAAAATGTGCCTGGTCAGAAATTTCTGAGATTTCCCTAAGCCTCATACTTCATTCATTCGAGATCAGTCTTCTTTTTTAACCTTTGGTAACAAGCAATCTAAAACAAAAAAATCATACATTGCACTCACACACAACACTAAAGGTGATTTGTGATACGAAAAGATGAATTCTCTACTTTACTAATGTTGAAAATGATATCTTCTGATGCCTCAAACATTAATTCTTTTCTGTTAAAATGGTGAAATTCCAGCTGGAGTAAGGGGCAGTTCTTCCCTGCCGTGTGGAATCCTGTGGGTGAGGGTGCCAGGTACTCCATGGCACCCCTAGGTGCGGCTGCTGGGCAGTTAAATGTTTCTGAAGAGTTTAAATCAAAGGGTTTTTCTCTTAGTTTTTGTTTTATTTTTAATGACTTTTTTTTAATCTTGGGATAATCTTAGATTTAGAGAAAAGTTGCAAAGACTGCATCAAACGCTTCTGAGTTTTAACACAGGGTCTTCCCACTAGTTCCTGGAGGCAGGAACTCCAAGGCTGTCTTGTCCCCTTCCTCCTGGATGCTAAGGCTCCTGCAGCTCAGATGAGACAGGGAGATTAAACCAGGAGAAGGCAGGCTACCCCTCAGGAGCCTTCTCACTGTCACCAGCATCTCAGCAGAGCCAGCAGACAATGCTCACAGTGGGTTCCCAACGCTGTGAATGCCGCACTGTTGGTGGCAGCGTCCATTCAAAGGGCCAGCACAGCATTGTCCTCCCCAATCAGCACGGCAGAATGCAGTCTGCTGGTGGCTGCCAAAAGGTTAGCAGCCCTGATGAAAGGGCGGCCCATTATTCACCGCTCCTACAGAGCTCCCCTTTGTGCCCGGTGGCCCAGCCCTGCGCCTTGGAGGTCCGGATCTGCGGCTGGCTGAGTTTGCCACAGAAGCTACTCATGGGAACGCAAAGATGCAGAAAAGTGGCCCCCAAACCCAAAGGCTGCTGTCCTGGAGGCTGTTTTGGCATGGCCATTTAGGGCAATGACACGTTTAATGTCATAACACACTGACAACCTAACTACAGTCACCAAGATGAAATGGTACGGCAGGTCCATCTTGGCTCCTGGGCTCTGTGGGAGGTCCCACAGAGGAGGAACTTGGTGCCATGAAGCAAAGAGACAATCAGGCCGGAAGAACTGCACTCAATTATACTGTGAACCAGGCCCTTGCACCCTGGGTCGCTGATCACTGTCCCACGTGGGCGGCCCCACCAAGAGACTCACAAGGCACGGCAAGCCCACGGCTGCTGAGAGGCAACTGCTCCTGAGAGAGCTGGTGGGAAAATTGCAGTGCCACTTGCTTGAGTGTGATGCCACCTACAGCTCCTTGCTAAATTGAGACGTGACACTCCAGGAGAGGTACTGTCAGTTCAGGGCCATCTTCGAGGGTGTCACTTGTTCGGGCAGCTCTGGCCAGTTTCCCAGTCCAGGAGCAAGTGGGCAGGGGTGCTACAGTATGTCACAGAATGAGATACTCCAGAGAAGGTCTGAGTGAACAATGTCTGGGTGGCGTGGGTCTGGGAGAAGCTTGGAAAACAGAAACGATGATGTAGGAAGCAGAGGAGGGCACCAGGGCCCCTGGAATGGGGGCCACCATTACAGGCAGTCTTCAGTCACTTTGTCGGTGAAGAAGTCTGAGGCACACAACCACCTGCCTATGCTGCATCCCCATGGCAGGCACGGAAGAGATCAGTCTTGAGCTTGGGTCCACCTCTGTATGCAGGTATTTGTCCCAGTCTGTCAGCACCTGGGAGGCCAGAGAGGCCCCCTGAAGAGACAAGGCCATGTACAGGGTCGATGGCCCACAGCAAAATGGCAGAAGCATCCTGGTGTTGTATTCCACATTTGTGGTTCCTCTGTGAGGGACCACCTGCTGGCAGGTGACAGCGGGCACCAGGGTGCACCTTCATGCTGAAGATAGAGACCAGGAGTGGTTGGATGGGGACAAGGGACAGATCTCAGGGCCCTTGGGCTGACCTGTCTTCTCTAAGATGGGGAGACTGAGCCACAGGCTTAGTTAATAGCAGTGCAGGGATGGGCACCCACCTCTCAAAGTGCAGGCACATTCCTGTAAGCCCTGTGAGGAATCCAGGAGGAATATGAAGGCAGTGGAGAGAAACCCACATGGCACAGCCAGGCAAAGCTCACCACAGAAGCAGATAGAGAAAAAGGGGCTTAGTGAGGACAGTTCAGCGAGTTCCAGTTCCATCTGGGGTGACACCAGAATATAGAAGCACCATGCCTCCATCTTTTCCTCAGGACATATAGAACTGAGCTACCACCTACACACACACACCAACACATGCATGACAATGCACACACACGTGAATATACAATAACACACACACAAACATGTTTACACACAAATGTATGCAATAGACATGGCCTTGGGCAGCAGAGTGACTGAGTGGGGCAGGAATGGCATGATGCCAACACCCAGAAGATGTTACATTCTTCCAGAACTGACTTAAACTGCTACAATGGCCAGGGACCAGCAGTTGGCATAATGGCTATGTCACTGGACTCCCATATAGTCAACCACAGTTTGAATTCTGGATCCAGTGGCTTAAACTCACACTGGGTGTGTATGCGTGCATGCCCAAGATCCTGAGAGGAGAATGGAGAGGGGATTGTGGCATGGTCATCCCCCCTGTGGGGTGATTTCTCACTTTCTGTCTCTCTGTCTTTCTGGCAAGTGCATGCACCCTATGGCAAAGACCTCCCCCAACCAAAATAAAAGAAAAAAAAAAAAAAGCTACAATAGCCATGTGCTGAAGCTGAGGGGGAGGGAGGGCATTAGTAGAAGGCCTATCCCTCCAGATCAAAAAGGTCAAGGTCTGATGAGGAGTCCAGAAAGAGGCTGAGTAAGGAATGCAACTGAGGAGCAGGGCTGTGCTTGCACGTTCACTTGGAAGCACAATACCATGTTCCCAGCACATGGGGTCAGAGGTCAGGGCTAGGGTGGGGTCCTCCAGGAACTGGACTCTCGTGGAAATCCACCACTCTGGGGCAGAAATGCTTGGCTTAGACCTGTGGTAAACAGTTGTTGAAAGCCTAAATTGACTACTCACTGTCATTTTGACCACAGGGGCACTGGTGGGGAGAATTTTAATTTGAGGACTAAACGGAATGAGCAAAGAATAAACCAGACCACTAGGCTGCCTAGGCTGAGAGCCAGCAAAAGGTCCATCTACAAATCGAGAGAGACTCTGGTCCCAAGACCAGACATGCCTTATTAATCAATGTACGCTTTCCCCCAGACCATGGCCCATCAGTTCTGATTCCATCAAAGGTGTCATAGGTGTCACAGATAGATGGAAGAGCTGGAAGCATCCAGGTGGGAGGAGGATCCAGGACAGCCAGAGCCCAGGTAGAAGGTAGGAGTGACCCCCTCGCTCCGAAGGTCACTAAGGTCCCCTGTCCCTCCCCAGGACCCACGGCAAGCAAGATCTGGCTGCCCAGATGGCAGGGGGCCAGGGCCAGGAGGGAGGCAGTGCTGTACCAGGCTGGGCAGGAGAAGCCTCACTGAACTGAGCCTCCACAGCTGGCGGTTACCCTAAGGTGCCTAGAGCCTGAGCTCGGCAGTTCTAGGAGACTCCCAGCAGAGCCAGAGCTATGGGCTATGGAAAGGCACCACCCACTATCAGCAGAGCTCACAGCCAAATGTGACCATCACAATTCTGAGACACTTTGGTGTTGATACTTACATTCTGCCTCATCTCTCCATAATACTGTTTTCTTATCTTTCCCACAAAATTAAGAAAAACAAATGAAGCAATCCACATTCAAGTTTATCTATGATGGTGCTACTCAAGTCTGAACAGAAGTTGGGGATTTTGTTGCCTCGATGGGTCAACATGTGCAAGTATGACTGGCAAATAGGAAAAACAAACCAGGAAAGTGACCTAGAAGAAGATGGCACCATGTTTTTAGAAGTGGTCAGAGCTGGGAGGAGCCAGGCAGACTCAGCACTTACCTGTCAAGCACATAGCCCAGGGCTTTGTGTCGGATGCCCGAGTACACTGAAGGGCTCGTTTCCCAAGCAACTAGGTTGGAAGCATCATGGAAAAGATGGATGTTCACCAAGTCGAAGGCACTGCAACCAAGAGAGAAAAGGAAGCAGTGACCAAGGATTACAGAAGCCATCAAGTCACCTGGTTGCAGCCCATTCTCAGGAGCCCCATGGCTGCCCCAAGCAGGAACTGGACTGCTCCCTGTCTCCCAGGGAATCCTGGACTAGCTCCAGCCTCCACAGTGAAGCTGCCTGAGCCCTGGGCACCTGTCTACTCACCTGTTTCCCTCAGCTTTCCAGGGTGACCCAGGGCATCTCCTGAGAGGCAAGTCTTTAATAGATCTTTACAAATGCAGTTACTTTGACCAAGTGAAATGTGAGTTATTTTTCTTTGAAAAAGCAAAGATCGTGCCCATGACTACAAAAATCTTCCTGAAATAGTAGGTTGTATAAACTAAGAGGAGGAGGATGCTATCTCTGTGCCTCAGTTTCCCAATGGCCAATGTTGTCTGGTGCCTACAAGCTGCACTACTGTTGGGGACCCCTGCATCACAGGGTTGGGAGACAAAGACAGGCAAGTGGAATGTTTCATTTTATTTTCAAAAAGAAGCCTCTGAGCTTACAGCCCCAAGGAAGACCTCAGGAAACCCTGGTGGGCCCCACCGTCAACTTCCATTCCTGACACATGCATACTTGGTGAGGTTGAATCTGGCTGGGCTAGTCTTTTCCACTCCCTGAAGACCCCCTCAGCACCTGTGGCTAGCAGCAGGTGAGGGTGGCTCAGTGGCTTTAGAGCTGTTCAAACTCCATTCACACTCTCACTGCCACATCACGTCATTCAGGGGCTCTAGGGCCCAATAGGACATTCACATTTGACCTCGCCCTCCTTTCTCTTCAGCAGCAATTATACAGAATGAGGGCCTTGCAGATTTGGCAACCTTCTCCAGCTTGTGGTTGCCAGATGCCAGGATAACCCCAAGAATTCCACCTCCTGGTGTCTACGCCTTACATGGCACCTCCTACATTGTACTGGAGTTGGTCTCTACGACCAAGGGAAAAGGACAGCAGCAATGGCTTGTCATTTCCTGGCTTAGGTCACAAGGAACTGTGGTTTCTTTTCGGGCTCCTTCTGCCTCCTGCTTGCCCTCCTTCCTCTCCATTCTTCCTCCTCACTTACTGTCCTTCCTCTCCCCCCCTCCTCTCTCTCACTCTCTGGGATCCTTGCTCCTGGAGGAGAGCTTTGTTGTGAACAGACCCAGGGAGGTGCCAGCTTGGGGAGGAGCTGAGGCCTTCAGCAGCCCCATAGTGAGCTGGAAAATGGGTCCCCTGACTCTAGAAAAGTCTCAGAGAACTGCTCATATAAAAGGGCAGAAATCCCAGCTTAGCCAATCTCAGATTCTGAGCCTCAGAAACTTTATATGTTTGTTTGCTTTTTCTGTTTTATTTTTTAAATTATTAGTTTATTTACATTTAAATGTACATACTTACAATGTAATGATTTTTCCCTGCATAAATACAAGGCATATTAGTCTAGTCTAAGACATTACCATATACATTATCATCAACAGATCCCTTTTCATTTTCTAGTCTGTTAAATGTTCTTTCTTCCCATGATTCCTCTCTCTGCTTCCCACTACTCATCCCCTCCTATACTACTTCTAGTATTTACAGTTGTTCACCCCCTCCCCCAACTTCTCACTTTTATGCCTTTCAGTCTTTCCGTTTCTGCTGTAAAGTGCAGACATTTGGTATATTAAGTGGGTATATATTAAGCAGGGACATACAATGTCTCTCTTTCATAGTGTGACTTATTTTGCTTAACATTAAATCTTCCATATTTTTCCACTTTGTATCAAATTGCAGGGTCTTTTTTTAATGACTGAGTAGTATTCCATAGTGTATATGTGCCACGTTTTTCCAATACATTCATCTGCTCTTGGACATCTGAGTTGATCAGCAATTGTGAATAATGCTTCAATAAACATGGATGTGCAAGTGTTTTACCAACTGAGTGCCACCCCCACCCCCGCCTTTGGGTAGCTACCCAGAAGTGAATTGCTGGGTTATATGGCAATTATATTTGTTGAACCCCCATATTCTTCTTCACAGTGGCCATACTAGTTTACATTCCCACCAACAGTGTAGGAAGGTTCCCTTTCCACTGCAGCCTCACCTGTATGTTTGTTTATTTTAACACTTTTCTTAAAAAAAGAAGAATTGTTTTTTTTTTTTTATTTAACTTTGTTTATTCACTTTAATTTGACTAGAGAGGAACAGAGAGAGATAGATAGAGAGAGAGAGAGAGAAAGTGAGAAAGCAAGCCACCAGGTTCAGTACTCAAACTGCAGTTGGCCATGTGAGAGTCCAGCAACCTTAACCACAACACCACCTACCAGCCTTGTATGTTTGTTTTTTAAAGGTGCTAAGCTTAGGGTTATTGCTATACAGTTACAGATAACTCATGCAGTGAAACTTCAGAAAATCTGTGAGAGGAAAATAAAAAGGTCATGCTCAAGTGAGATGTGGCCACTTGGAGGACAGGTGGGAAGCCCCTTGGAAATGATATCAGGTGAACAGGTAACATATTTCTGACCTCCTCTTTTCCTAAAGAGATGGTAGCCATGGGTACTGAGCCTACAACCAGGAAGGCCAGGCTTGGGCATGACCGAACAGGAAATGGGTTCTACTTCGTGCTCCCAACTCTCAATATACCATTTTTAGACAATTTAACTCTGCAGCCATGGAACCCACCCAAAGGAAGCATGCCTGCTGGCTTTCTCATGCAGTGGGCTCTGGCTAATAGAACTCTCACACTGGGGGAGGGGCCAGTGGGCCTTCGATTGTGTTTCTCCATTTGTGCTGAGCGCCTGGACCTTTGACTTACAGGGAAAGGGCAACAATGCTCCACGTCACATGGCATCACCCATAAACAAAAAAGGTCAAAGAGTGATGGGGTGGGGGCCGGGCAGCCAGGGATCCCTGTTCAAAATCAGTAGAGCCTTTGATGAGATGTTTGCAATACAACACTTGTGCAAAACACAAAAGAAGGTTAAAAAAATTCCGAAAATTTATGAAGCAGAGACAAATAGTCCGACACAATATAACATACCAATCAGCAATGCACCATCTTGTCCGGATGAAGCCTTTTCTCGACCATTTGCACTGAAAAATAAACATGTTGCACAAATAAGCTGGTATAAATAAGGAAAGAAAGAGATGTGTAATTCATTACATGCTTTACACTGAAGGAAACACTTAAGATGCTTTTTCGAACAAACAAAATCAGTGCTAATCTTTCATCATTTAATGTATTCTACTGAAAGAACTGAAACATGCACTTACTATAAAGGTAAAGCTTTAGCCCCACAACTTTCCGAGTTTCCAGATGGAAGTAACGACACCCTTAGCTGAACCAAAGAGAAGACTTAGAGCAGCCACTCCCATCAGGGCATCCTGGGCAGCTGCTGAGTTAGACTGACCCAGTGAGTAACAGTGAGAAGTCTAATGCTGGAAAGGGATGAGCATAGCTTCTCACAAAGGCCTTACTCGTGAACCCACCAACCCAGCAGCACCACAGAGCATGGGGTCTTTGCTCCATGATGTTCATTCAGGTATAGACAAGCCCCAATGAAGAGCCTGTTCTGAGGTCTGAATGTATTCTGCCAAATTAATACGCTGAAGTTTAATAGCCAGTGTGATAGTACCAAGAGGTAATTAGGTCATGAGAGTTCCTCCCTAATGAATGGGATTAACCCTTATAAAAGAGACTTCACAGTATCTGGCCCTCTTGCCTTGTCATCCCTTACACATTCCACCAGTAAATGCAGAGAGTTCACGTCTACCAGAGAACACAGTGACAAGGTGCCACCTCAGAAGTGAAATCTGTCTTCACTAGACACTGAATTTGCCAGTGCCTTGATCTTGGACTTCTCAGAATCCAGAACTAGTAGCAATGAATTTTTATTGTTTGTAAATTACCTAGCCAAGTATTTTCTTACAGCAGCATATATGGACTAAGTCAGCCTATCAACAGAGAAAGGAGTTAGACCACAAAAAGCTGGTATTAATTTCTGCTAAAAAGAATCTGTGTTGTAGAATCTGAGAAAAGGGTCACTTGTTTTCTACAGTGTGCTCTTGTTGGCTCCCAAAGTGAGGAAGAAAAGGTGGAGAGTGGACCAGAGGAAAAGAAGAGGAGAGTAATAGGGACAGAGATCAAGATGGTGGCCTAGTCTACAGCTTTGACCTGTGTGTTGGAAACAAGACAGCCTGCACTTTCTTTTCCAGCATTATTAATCCAACTTCTGCTCATGGTCACTGAGGCTTCTCTTCCTGCCTTCCTCCCTACACACTCCCATTCCTGCCCAAAGAGGGAAATAAAAACTCCCTTTATGATAATGACTATAAATGATGAACTAGTCAGTCAACCTTTTCCAACAGCATTTGGAATTATTCCTTTGCTCTTTGGCATCCACCATTGCTGATAAGAAGTATTCTAGCAGATCTAGTTGCCAATCCTTTGGAGATATAGTTTATTTTCTCTGGTAGATCTTAAGTTTTTCTCTTTGTCACCAATATTCTGAAGGTTCACTACAATCTAGGTATGGGTTTATTTTTAAATATCTTGTTTTCTGAACCCAAATTATACTCAATCTGAGAACTCATGACTAATTTTGGAAAAACTTTCCATATCATCTTTTGTGATATTCCTCTCCGTTGTTTCTTCCTGGAATTTCTTTTGGATGAATATTTGGCACTCTCAGTGGGAACTTCATGTCTTTTAACTACTCTTCTCTATAAAAATTAAAAACATAAAAACAATCAACCAAAAATCATTATCTTTCTTGGCTATGTTCTAGATAAACTCCCCAATAATACCTTCGAATTCACTGACTTTCTCTAATCATGTCTGGTTTAGAATTTATTCTGTTCATTTTCTTTTCTTTATTCACGACACAGTGTGTGCATTCATGAGAATGAGAGTGAGAGAGAGGAAGGCACACCCTCCACAGTGTATGGTCATGCATCAATCTCTTTCTTCCGTTCTATAGCCCTTCAGCCTGGAGGACACTGGGGATTCGTAGATGTGCCCAGAATATCTCAGGCCAATTGGGCTGGGGTCTCAAGCCCAGGCCACCATGTGGGATCTAGTTTCCCTTGAGCACTGCGTTACTGCTGAGCCATGGAGCCAGCTCTATTCTGATTATTTTTAATAACTGTGTTTCTATAGACTCATTTTCATATTCCCTTATTATTTTATTTGTTTTAGTTAACTAATATCTTGTATTTTAATGACTTTTATTGTTTCATTTATCTCTGAGCATTCTAAACGTATTTATCTTAAATTCTTTGTCAGCTTCTTCTACAAAATTAATTTTAGTTTCTCTACATTTCATAAACTTTCTTGGTTTTCCAAGTCTCCTCCTAAATGAAAAGTCCCTCCTCCCACCTTCTCTATCTCCAATTTTATGGCTGCCCCATCTACCCTCAAGCCAGACAACCTAATAGAGTTTGATGGTCCTTATTGCTAGTGACACTGAGGTATACACTGGTTCTCCCACAGGGCCTACAGGTGGCTCTGGCCGTTCTTCTTCCAAGGCTAGTCTTTCTTCTTTCACCTCTAAAGTCCCAGACCCTGGGAAAGAAGACTTTTTCTTTTAATAATAGATTATATTTCAGAGAAATTTTAGGTTTATAGAATTGAACAGAAGGTACTGAGACTTCCCATATACTCCTCTCATCCTGACACACATATGATGAGATACTTTTCACTTCAGTTCTGATGTGAGATGGGCCTCACATCATACCATGAGTTGGCTCTGGTTTCAAAGCCTACATCCCCTGCCATACTCTGGGAGCACTGCCTGCCAGACAACAGGGACCATCAGAAGTCCCTGGACATTGGCCAAGGTGTTGTTAGACAAGTGGCCTGACTACTGCACAGCACTGCTTCCAAGACTATCCGAGGAGCTGCACAGAATGTGCGTGGACCTATCTGTCTACTGCCTGTGCATGCATTTCACACCACTGGCATTTGCCGATTGATTCCAAAATGTGGCCTTAAACACTGCAACTAGATTTATCGGGGAGGCCACTTGTCCATAAGAATGTCTGTCCTCATTTCTAGTAAGCAGCCGTGTCTGTGATGAAAACAAAGAAATAGGAAGCTGAGTTGTGAGGAGGGTTCTGGATGCTGGTAAGGCCCTGCCACAGCTGGGTCCATCCTCCTAGGAGGAACAGCCCATAGGCTGGGTTATTCATAACGTCCTCACAACAGAATTTCCCCCCTTCCTACACCCTACACTCCAGAAAAACTGCCTGCTACCTGTGTATGGAATGCCTTTCCTCCATCTTTCACATGTCTGAATCTAACCCGTGCTTTCCCAGGAAGTTCCTTCACCTGGAAACTACCATGGCGCCATCCTTTCCAAGGCTTCTGCCCAGCACTTGTGCTGCCTGTGCATGTGTTTTACACCATTGGTATCAAGGCTCCTTAGGGCAAGGCCTGTTTCCTTTGCGGCAGTGAACACAGGAGCCAGGACTGCCTGGGTTCCAGTTCTAGGTATGGGGACTAGAACAAAGAGGACAAAGCTTGTACTGCTGGCCCACTGTACGTGGAAACAGGCTCCTCACACCATCCCATGAGCTCCAACAGCAGCCACAGTAGTCAAAGGTCTGGTGTCTGATGCACACATATACATTCAATTCTCACCAACCTCGGGGGTGGGTGCTACCATCACCCCACTCTACAGAGTATGAAACTGATGTCATACAGCAGTCTTAGGCCATGGACATTGAATATCAGAGCCTCTTCTCTCCTTCCCTCTTCTTTTGCCCCTCTTCTCTCCTCCTCCTCTTCCTCTCCTCATTCTTTTTTTCCTCTTTCTCCTCTCTTCCTCTTCCTTTTCTCCCTCCTCCTCCTCTTCCTCTCCATCCATTACCATGCATGGCTTACTATACTCTAGCTCTGGATAGGGACCCTAGAATTCCATCACGCAGGTCCCACCCCAGGTTCTCCCACTGTATCCTGAGTGTTGGCCCATAATCCCAACATCATCCAGGTTACACACCGTCCTGGAACCCTTCCCTGTGGATGAGTCATGGGAGAAAGAAGTTCTGTTTATTCCTGTAGTCCCCAGCCATAGGAACCTCCTCCTTGCTCTTCTCCTCATATACCAGGCACTGCCACCTTAGACATGGAATCTGCCTGGAATCTTTCTCCAATAGCCACCTGGCCTACTCTGCCACTTTCCTTAAGATCAAATATTACCCTGTGTAGACTCACACCCTGCTCCACTCAAGCACGTCTATAATCCACTTATTGAGCACATGACTGTCCATTTCTCCCACTAGGACACAGCTCCATGAGTCTTCATTTGTCTTGCTGGATCCACTTGCTGAAAGACTGAACAGAGAGGGTCTATAACATTCAGACAGCAACATTGTCGCAGTGAAGAATAGTTGTCCCTGGACCACTGCTCCTCTCATTTTCAGAAGGTTCTTTCCAGAGGAATAGTGAGATCGAGGGGACACAGGGGTAGAAGCCACCCTGCAATCACTCCTCCAAATTGAAAGGGACAGCTGGGACCTCAAATTGAGTACATATGGGATTTTACCAGAATGTAATATAGCCATTGACAGCTTTACTTACATTAAATATGGAAGGCATCTGCGAATTTTAAAATGATCATCTCTTAAGTTTTAAATTATTTGTGTTAGTTAAGGTGTGTAGATAGATTTATGTTGTGTACACATATATTGAATATTTGTAAATGTGTATCTTTTTTGTGATATTTGATTTTCCTAATAATGAAGTATTTTTTTCAACATTAATTATTTGTAGACCGAATAAATAAAACAGAAGACACTGTGGAGTCTTTTACTCTCATAATATACATTGGGTTTAATTTTAGGGTCTTAACTACTGATAAATTTAAGATGTTTAGCTAAATTATAAATTAACCTCAGAAAATTTTATAGTATAACATAATTATAACCAAACATTTTGACCATATATTTGTAGAAAATACATTTCTTTTGAGATAAGTTCATCGTTGAAACTATGAATGTATCAAGACTGAATTTTTAAACAATTATATACAAAAAAATGGAGCTATACTCATGGCATTCTGATATTTTCACAGCCTATGGCTCCAAGGTTTGAT